GTTAATTTAGAAATTCGAAAAAGGTTGTTAAAGGTGTATGTTTGGAGCAGCGCGTTGTACGGGTGCGAAACATGGACAGTGGGAGCGGCGGAAAAGAAAAGGTTAGAAGCGTTCGAAATGTGGTGTTATAGGCGGATGATGAGGATATCGTGGGTAGAAGGTTAGAAATGAAGAGGTATTGGAAAGAATAGGAGAACAGAGGACTCTATGAAGACAAAAAAAAATAGGCGAGATAGGTTGGTAGGACACCTTCTCAGGCATGAAGGTCTAGTCAGAGACATATTAGAGGCAGAAACAGGAGTTAGGAGGGGTAAAGGTAGGCCTAGATTAGATTACTCTTCGCAAATAGTTAAGGATGTGACTTGTTCTAGTTTTAGGGAAATGCGAAGTTTAGCTCAGGATAGGAAAGAGTGGAGGTACGTGTCCAACCAGTCTTAAGACTGATGACCTTATGATGATGAATAAATATATAAACCGTCATAAAACAGTCATTTTTGTCAATGTGGACACCTAATAGCGATGAGCGAAAGGTCGTCTCTTGAATATATACATACAAATTGAAGTAAATCATTAACTTACGTAAAAATATTTGTATATATACAATATTTATTCAGTAAACTTACAAGCACACGAATTTCTAAATCCGGCTCCATAAAAGCCAGGTTTGCACAAGCACGTGTAGTGACCTGTTAAGGTGCCACACGTGCACAGTGCGTTTTCATCGCAGCAGTTCTTCCCTTCTGAACATAAATTATTGCATGGAATGTCTGTCCCCAATGCTACAAACTCTCCACCTTTTATATCTGCAATTAGAAATCAGAATTTCATCCATCTGTACATATAATAATGGGGAACTTTTCTTTTGCAATTTAACAAACAATTACTGGGCAAGTTTTGGTAAGATGCTACCATTTTACAGTTTTAACTTATCGCTAGAGGATTGATTCAAATGTTGAATTAAATTTACCATAAAAATTAAAATAGATGATATTAGATTAGATTCAAATAAGCTTGCAAGATCGAATGTTCATAAATGACTTTTATTAGAAAAGTTGTAGAACTTGAAGGTGGCCTCTACATTAAATTATTTAAAAGTTAATTAAAACAGTTTAAACGGTAACTTGTTATTATATTTGACCTCAAAATCGATGAGAGCTTTAAACTTAACGTCCTGGGCATGTATGGTATTAGGAGGTACGAGGTCAAACCAAACTAAAATTTTACAGTCAGTGGTGGTTCCTAATTTTCTCCAAATCTAACGCTTTTTTTTTTAGATCGACTACATATAAAAAGAGACCTCAACGACAATGTAAAAATGAACCAACATGTGAACCTTGAGAAACACCAGACATAATATAAATAGGATCAGATAAGCAATTAGGGTAATGTACTATCTTAGTTCTACCAGATAAATATGACAGTATCCAATCGAGTAGAAAATGCCCATTCATTTTAGCTTAGAAATACGTAGTAACTACAAGGTTAATTGAATAGAAAGCACTTTAAAGATTGGTGCAAATGGCGTCGACTTGTCTATGTTAAGAAGCGTGAGTACACAGATAAGTAGTGATAAGAGAATCAAATAGAGTCCAGGATTGCTACAATGAATGTAAAATCTCTGAAATCGGTATATCTATACCAAAAACAAGCGAGGTGCAATTCTATTCCGGAATAGGAGGTGATACCAACGAAGAGAAATAAAAGCACTGAAAATATTTATCAAACCAATTAGATATGTCTTAAGGAATAAGGGTATATCCTGTTTAAAGCACAGGACGACGGCTGTGATTGCAATTTCTTATTTATTATTAACAAATTCCAGAACGACTTCATATTCGATTTAAGAAAATTCCCAACATTGGAAGTATATACTATCAAACAAACATTATTATCTGAATAAAGTTGATCTTAGTAACTACCTTACTAGTTGAATTAAAGATAATTAAATTGAGGGTGTCGGTAGGTAAATTCTTCTGAACAAAACGATAGATTGATGTTACATTTATTAATTCATCTCCTGATGAAGCCAAGAATGTTGGCGAAAATTTGAAAATTAATAAATGTAACAATATCATTCCATCGGTTTCTTCACAAGAATTTACCTACCAACACCCTCAATTTAATTATCTGTAATTATCTGACTGTGAGTAATGCCAGATAATATGCAGATAATAGACACAATATTCCTGTCGAAACTCTTCTTTCAACCTTGACCGTCTAGTAAGCCAACAAGTTATCACTTCATAATATGAAGAATGATATGGACAATCTCATCTACAGGATGAGTAATACTATGGTAATTAGACGTACTTGTAATAATGACCCACCTGTCTTGTCATTTACACGTCGATTATTGTTGTTGTGGAGAAAAGAAAAAGATAAGGAGGTCAAGTGTATTTACTTGCTACCACAAAATTAGCATATTATTATCTAACCTTTAATGTATTGTACATAAATAAACAACGTAATAAAATATTACCGAATAGAAATTACTCAAAACACCCAATTTAAGTAAGAGATAATGCAAGTACTTCTCTGAGGAGAGTATTATTTGTTATGAAACAAGATTTACAATTTAGCTGCTGAACAACTACAGCTTGTTATCGTTTTTCTACGCAGTCATCACGCAAACTTTGTAGAAAATCAACCTGAAAATGCTTATTAACAAACAATAAATCGACTATAAAATAAAATTTATGTTATGGTCCTGTTAGTATTTAATTAGAAAGGTACCTTTTGCAATAAGTATGTGCTACAAAGTATTCTAAGTAGTTATGAAAACGAAATATGGAATTTATGTAAAAACTAGCGACCCGCCCCAGCTTCACACGGGTGCAATGCTGATACTAAATATGTATATTTTTTTTTTGTTATAGATTATTATCGAGAAGGAGAAATCTTAAAAGATACCCCCCTGAACGTACTAAATATACTACAGAATGTCTTTATATACAACATTCACAGTTTTTTTGTCATTAGACATTACAAACCGCCCTCCCGACCGGTACCTCCGCAACCGCTATAGCATTTTAAATCTGTAATATCTTCGAAAATATTCATTTAAATTAGGTGCTGTAAAGGGTCATATTGATCTATATTAAATGCACAATGTATTTAAGGTACTTAATTGGATAAGAATTAATGCTGTATTGCCTACAATCGCTTCGTAAATAAGTCATTATTTCTCATAAAAAGTAAAGAATAAAAATGGTTAAAAAATTGTGGGTTATCCCTAAGAGATAGACATATACCATCGCGAACTTTTTTGTAGACCCTTTTTAAAATGTACAATATTGTAGTACATTATTTTAATCTATCTCGTAGGGTTCAGCTAGTGTTTGCAATGTAAGTGCAAAAAATGTGTTTATTTACGACATCACATTAGAAACCTCTAAAATTATCAGTGTTTCCCTACTATATTATGCATGTATTATACATATAAACCTTCCTCTTGAATTACTCTATCTATTAAAAAAAAACCGCATCAAAATCCGTTGCGTAGTTTTTATGATTTAAGCATACATAGGGACAGACAGCGGAAAAGCGACTTTGTTTTATACTATTTAGTGATACATAAAGTTAAGTGAAAGTAATTCGTAAAGCTCTCCAAAAAAATACAAAGGGAAGTTTGCACCACATCCATCCTGTCAGCTACCTATCAATCCCCTCCTCGTTAATTAACGAAACACCCTGTTTATGTACATTGTAACATATATAGATACGAAAGTATGCAAATGGGACAACAAAGAAACCAGGAGTGGCCTTTGGGGTGGCAAGCAAGATAACCGCCCGACGCCTCATTCTTACAGAGGCCTCCTGCACTCGCGTAACAATCCAAGTAGAAAACAATTAGGTACTAATAGTACTAATGTGTATTACCACCATTAAAACTAATTCCACAAAAACAAGGACGTCGCAAAGATCTACCCGCCCGGAGCTTCGCAGTGGCTAATGCCACCCTTAAAAGAGACAATAAAAATTGTTATAATACTATAATTCGTTGTTCATTTCTCCTTTTATAAATATAAAAAAGAAAAGAAAGGATTAACCAGAATGGTTTATATTTTTCATACCAACATGTAGAGCCCTCCTGGCTAAACTTTCAAACTGATGAAAGCTGTCAACAAGAAAGCTGTAAAGGTGACCAGGTGATGAACTCGATAGTTCATAAAGTTCCTCATATTTCCCATGTTTCACTCCTATTGTAAATATGGTCACATTTTTCTTCTTCAAGTCATTAGCAACCGGAATGGGATTCCCACCATTGGAAAATCCATCAGTTATCAAAAAGAGAACCTTTTTGGAGTCGTTTCTGCTATTTGCAAATATCTCCTAATAAAAATTGGTATATTTCATTATTTGTTCAAAAAGGAATTTTCGACCGATTTGCACCTTTGCTAATCTGAAGGCCCCAAGTGTGTACGTTCCACCTCCAGTGAAATTTATTTGATTCAATTCTTTATTTAAAAACAAACACTTATTGTTTTCTCGAACAGGTCGTGAGATTTGATCGACATTTTTGACCTATAACAAAGTCAGTGAATAAAAGTCAATAAATACTTTTTGTCATCATTTTGTTTATATTTAAAGACAATTATTGAGTCCCATATAAGTTGTCAATGCTAAGAAAATTACTATTTTGATAATAATACACATTTCCATATCATTTGCAGTCAATGATCACTTGATTACCTTCAATATTTTTGAAGAAAGTTATCTAACCATTCGGAAAAGTTATGAAATTAACAAAAAAAATATTGCAATACCTATCAGTATTTTTCAGACATATGTTATTAAGAAATACACAACGCTGCGGATTGTTACATTTTAAAAAAAAAATCATTTAGTTTATTTTAAAAAAATAAAAACTTTAGTTTATGCTTTAAAACAACTAACACCTCCATCAGCTAGCAGTAAATTTTATGAAATAATTTTAATTTTACTTTTATTTCCTTTAGATATTTATCTGCTAACGTAAGAAATAAAATCGAACTGTTATTCAAATGTTTTATTAAAATTTATTATTTGACTTTGACCATGTAGACCAAATTTTCAGTCACCGTAGATTTTGTTTTTGAAATGATAAAATTTTATCTGTCGTTGTTATATAAAATCTATAAACTATAATGGTACGTTTAACTATTTATTACCATAAATACGCATTTAAATAGATAGTAACAGATGTTCTTATGGTCTCACGAATGTGTAAGTTCAAGGACAATTAATGGACTGATAAAATCATTAATTAATTTTTTTTTCATGAATAACATTTTATAGACAATGTTTCACAAAACAATTTTCGGAGAAATTACATCTTTAAACAGTGCCAGGTCCTTCCAGAATTAACCCTTGAAAAGTAGATCAAGAAAATCAAGGTAAATAAGTCTACATTGGACAAATAGGCAATTTAGCTACAGACTGGATTAAAGAGCATCGCAAATCGTGCTAACTACATATGAATTCAATCATAACCGAAAAAAATGAGAAATTGACAGTTTTGACAACTACTTTGTTATTGTACGTACTTACATCAGATAAAAATTTAGAACAAGGTACCGTAAATGAACGAAATAAAATAGATATATATTAATTAAT